CGGTAAACGAGGCCAGGGCGCGAAAATGCGGCGCGGACCTTCCGGCAGCCATTTTGGAACCGCCGATCAGCTGTTCCCCCCGCTTTGTTATGCGATATTCGTTAAGCGAATCGCTTAGCGAATATCGCAAAGCGAAAAAACGCCATAGGGGCCATCGCTGAGCGAATGCTCCAGCAATGGCCCAGAGCCCCTTGTTAAGCGATTTCATCGCTCAGCGAGGCGCTCGTTAAGCGAGGCACCACTGTAATTCTCCATTCTGGGAGTCCTACCTGACATCTAAATGAGGCTCACCCAGGAGAAAGTCCTCGACTGAAAGGCCGAGCTCCTCGTAAAAGCCTGTCTCTCAGATGAGCCACATTTAGATGCCTGTCAGGTAGAGCTCAGAAAATCCCATGACCAATATTTATCAAAAGCGGTACATCACTGGGTACCAGTTATTGGGGAAATGATGACAGCCATGCTATTAATGGCTTCTAGTCCTCGTGTATATGCTCACTCTGAGGTTCCAGAAGGCATACCTCTGAAAGTCGCCTAGAGTGGTCTTAACCAACCAGATAGGTGGGATATAAATAAAATAAATAAAATAGAAAATAAAATAAAGTCAGCTGCTTGAGAAATCAGTGAGAGGGCTGTTGTGTGCAGGTCCTGCTTTGGGCTTCCCAGCGGCATCTTGTTGGTCTTTTGTGGAACCCAAAGGACCGGAATGGCTTTGGGTCTGATCCAGCACATAACACATGTTCTGTTCTTATTTGCAGATCCACAGTTTGTGAAGGCAGCTATGGTAAAGCAAGACAAGCCTTACAATGCCAAAATCTACCTCTTCTTCCGAGAGGACAATCCAGATTCTTCAAGGAATCCAGTGGCCTCCAAGAGCATCTCCAGAGTGGCTCAGCTGTGCAAGGTAAAGGCCTGGGGACGAGCCATCTTGTGTGGTGGTGGGGAAGCACGTTTCTTCCAGAGTTTTCAGAAGGAGAAGGCGTCCACAAGTTTGCTTAACCGCTGGCTCTTTGTCCATATTCTGAAGGTTTTTCTTCTTAACATTTCGTCAGTCTCTGTGGCCGGCATCTTCAGAGGACAGCACTCTGTGCTCTGGTGTAGTTTGCTTGGGAGTGGAGTATTTATGGCTGTGAGATAGGCTTTTGTCCTTTTCAGGAGATGGCTGATTAGTGTGTCTTGTGGGTGTATTGTTGTGATAAGGAGGAGAGATTATCTGTCACTGTGGTTGATGGGTGAAGATGCTGGCCACAGAGACTGGCAAAATGATACGTGATGGTTTAGATGGAACAGATGGCTACAAAAAGTGGTTTGTGGGAAGAAATAGCTTTTGGTGACTCCCTATAATGTGATAGAGACAACAAGAAGAGGCTGTACAGATACTGAGCCCAATGTTCCTTTGGCTTCCAGAGTTCCATCTATTCACAACTCTTAGGATGGGTGGCGTGAGTTCCCTGGCATGTTTTGACTCCTCCAGGCTCCACAGATTATTCTGTTTTGCCAGAAAATATTTTTTCCTTTTTTCCCCTCTTTGCTTTTTTCCTCCTGCTCCTCCTCCTCCTCCTCATAGAACAGGTAGTTGCCAACACGTAGCCTAACCTAAAAGCCTTCCTTTCTCCTGCAGGGAGACAAAGGAGGCAGCGGTTCCCTCTCGGCATCCAAATGGACAACTTTCCTGAAGGCCACTCTGCTCTGTGTTGATGGTGATCGGCATTTTAACCACCTGCAGGATGTCTTCATTGTCGAGTCACCCATCTGGTCTCAGACAAAGATCTATGGACTGTTCTCCAATGAGTGGTGAGTGTTCCTATGGGCCTTACCTCTTTGCAAATACCTCACTTTATGCCTCACTTGGACTTTCTCAGTGTTTAAGGTGGACTCTGGTGGAGATGCACCTTGGGTTTGAGGGGGTTGCAGATCAAGAGACCTGGGCAATGACATGAAGACATAGCCAGGCACCTTATGGCAAAATAATATAAAGCTTATAATATTGATTAATTTCAAAGAGAATATATATATATAAGATGTTTTACGGGTAGCAAATGACTCCAGAAGAATTGTCGAAGATGTATATAGATGTATCAAATGTGTGTTGGAAATGTGAAGCACAAGTGGGAAGCTATTATCATATGTGGTGGTCATGTAGAGTAGCGAAACAGTATTGGAAAAGAGTACATGCTGTGCTGCAACAAATATTGCTTTGTAAGGTTCCACTAACACCAGAACTGTTTTTACTGAGTATGATACCTGATAACATAGATAAGACAAAGAAGTATATAGTTATATACATAGCCAATGCAGCTAGAATTCTTTATGCCAAAAACTGGAAAAGTCCGATGGTACCGAAACAAGAAGATCTTATAGAGAAGATATGGGAAACAGCGGAAATGGACATTTTATCAGAAGTGAGGAAGGACTGTCCTTTACAAAAGGCAACTGAAAGATGGCACTTATTCTACAAATGGACTGAGTCATCAGACATCGCTTGAAGAACATGCATTAAAATAAGAACTTAAATCTGGAAGGCAGAAAATAGTAAAAAGAGCAATTTGGAATTTTGAGATGGCAATATGTATAGAACAGATATTAGTATGCCATTGTTTCTCCTCTTCCCTTTGATCTCAATTCCTTTTTCCTTCCTGTTGCCCTTTGTTAAAAAATAAAATATTTATTAAAAAAAAAAAGACATAGCCAGGCACCTTGATAAAGGTGAGGGCTTGGACTG